CAATGACGGGTAATGATTTGCCTGACTGTTTTTGTAGTCACCCATTTTTTAGTATATCTTGCAGGAAACCCTTATTCAAGTTAATAATTTTGATTGAATCTGATATGAATGCGACCATTGTAGTGTTTATTTTATTTATAAAGCAAGCGAGATGGATATAATCCACATTTTATTCAGACGTTTTGAAAAATTGCTTAATATTTATATATGTCGGTTTTGAGCAATTTTCGGTGTTGTGTTCTAATTAATAACTTGGCCCCAAATATACTTCAGAAAATCAATTTTAGTGTTTATTTTAATTATAAAGGAAGAGAGTGGATATAATCCATATTTTATTCAGACGTTTGAAAAGTTGCTTAATATTTAGATATATCGGTTTTGAGTAATTTTCAGTGTTGTGTTCTAATTAATAGTTTGGCTTCAAATATACTTCAGAAAAGCAATTAAATAAATAAACTACTGTAATAATTAAACAAAATATTATGATGACCTTACCGAGAAAGCTTTAAAGAGTGACAGATTACCGTAAGTATCACATGAGTAAACGGGATGTTACGCTAGCGCCTTCTTCAACCTAACACGTGCTGCTGGGACAGTAATACAACGCCTCAGAGAATCTTGCACAAGCCTGGCTTCACACAAATTATTTGAATGATCTTTAATACAAATGAAAGAAAATTGCATATGATGTTTCACAAAAGCAGCATTGAAACTTTAATTCAAGTTATTTGAATATAAATATAGTCATAGTAATCGGTTTTATATATACTTATAATTCCTCTGCACTTTCTCGTCTTTTCCTATGATTCAAATATCATTTTCGGTCGAAAATTCTGAGTTACATAAAGTAAAATTACATGTCTATCAACCAAGGATTTCAGATTGTATTATTCCTTCATTTCATCAAGAAAACAAATATGTACGCTGATTTTTGTTTTTATTTGTTATTAGATGTTCGGAATCCTCCGGTTATATTCATGTAGCACCATTTCGAATTTTGCCATCTGACTTACTTTACTTTTCGTTATATTTTTGCCTTGTTTTTAAAAGAAGAAAAAGGTTTCAATGTTAAATGTACGAACAATCTAGAGAGAATCATTTCCTGACAAATGTTTAATGGGTTATATCTCAAAAACAAGGACAGACCTTAACATAATCCTGAAGGGAATAGATGATTTAATGATTTTCATTTTATAGAGCTATTCCATAAGCTTCGCTTCTGTTTAGTTATTTTTTCCAAACATTTCGGGGTTTTTTATAAGAATTTAGGATAAATATATATCTCTGGTGCCATCAGCCAGCAATAATTTAAAAAGAAGAGACGAAAATAGGAAAAGAATAATCAAACTCATACGTCGAAACCAAACTGAAAATTTCATGACAAAAAGCGATACAAACTACCAAAAGACAACTAACAGTATACACAACGCAACATTGAAAACTAAAGACTCTGTAACACAAATCCTACCAAAAACTGAGGATGATTAATCTAGGTGCTTGATAGAAATATTCAATTTAGTTTCTCTATTTTGAAGCCAATTGATAGCTTCATCGAAGGGTAAGTTAACATTTTTGACGTGCAATTCAGTATACTTTATTTTTCCTCTGTCAAACATTGATCAAATGTCCTTGCTTTCCCCTGATTTTGTTTTTGTGACGGGTCATCAAAAGGTGACCATTCCTTCTGATTACACAGAAAAATAGCAAAACAATTTATATACCTTTGAAACAGGATGAATTCTTTTTTTTACTGGTATATTTAGTTGTGTTCAGAATTCGTTGTATTGTTTTGTGAACTTCTTTGTCTCTCCGTCGTAAGCTTTTTCGATGAGATCGTCATGATGTTTTGTTTAATTGACACATACAGTAGTTTATTTTTTTTAATTTATGCATCACAAAATTAAAAAAAACTAATATGTAGCCTGCTTTCCTGACCCATTGTCGATGGAAGTCAATAAATAATTAGGACAGGTGATTGTCCATACTGATTCGATTAAGTATAAAACATGAATTGTTTTGTTTTTTTAAGTTAAGTCCGACAGTTTTTAAATAGAAACTGTATTTTTAGATGTTTAATGAATATATATAAACAATTTAACAAAAATACCAAACACTAACTTGAAGGCAAATTCAAAAAGGGAAAAGTCCATAAAAACTAACAAAATCAAACGTGATCAATCAACGGAACAAGTGAAAAAACAACTTCTTGTAAAGTTTGGCAACACTAACAAAGAGTACAAACTAGATATTCATGAATTATTTTAGTTCTGATAAGATATATATCTTTGTCGATTTTGATTCCGATCTCTATGTGTTACTTACATTTGGAAACAATATAATCATAATATATAGACATTAATTGTCGAAATCCGGATATGAATATCCATTTATTACATCGGTGATCCGTTTATTTGGCAATCGCCAATGGCAGTCAGCAGGGTATATATATATATTACATAGCATGTATAAACATTTTCAGTATTTGAATGGAACGTGCTTATCTTCTAGGCTGCAATATTAGGTGTAATAGTTATGATTGGAGGTTGTTTGGGCTTTCCCTGCTTTTGTAAAAAAGGAAACGAGATAAATGCAATTAGGATCATTGGAGAAAACGGATATTCAAACGTTTCCGTAAAGCAGGCCATAATGCATTTCAGTTGATCGACGACACACATGTAGCTCATATTCACAAGTCATAAATGGATCGTATGGCACTATCATTGATAACAATGGAAATGTAGATCATTGCAGGCATCTTATCTCGTACGTTACTGTGGTCCCTACAACCAGCGATACACATTGCTACATGTACTATGAGTATAGGAAACAACAAAACCATGATACATTATCCTGTCTTTATTCATGTATATTTATTTTAGAAACGAATAATAGAAACTAAATAATAATGAAATTGAGAATTTCTTAAGTTAGTCAAATATTTGTATTATTTGTCAAATAGCAGAGGAGGAGGATTTTCATTTTTGTCTTTCATTATCATTTTTAATAGACATAAGGGAGAAAGTCTAACATCTTCATACAAAAATCAATGTTTTTATCAAGTTCTTAGTAAAACATAAACTTTTCGGACACAAAGTCATCGATCAATGGTATTATGTTTTATCTATTTGTTGCTTTAAGGGATTTGCATAATAAGTGCAAACTATATTATAGAGCATGTGCATGATTTATTTAAAGAAAAAAATGGAGGGTTATGAATGAAAATTAAAGGTCTGTTAAAATAAAATAATGTTGTAAATTAAAACAAAAAATCATAAACATAGTATATAATGTGAAGATGCATGTTCATAGTTACGCTGTGATTGTTTTAAACTCGTAGTGTGAAGACTTTCCTGGATATTAGGAAATTAGTTCACAAAAGAAGTATTTACAAAAATACTGAACTCCAAAGTAAATTCAAAGGTGAATTCCATAAAAACTGACAAAATTAAACGTTAGATTTTATTAACCGACGAAACAAATAGACAACAACTGTCAGATTTCTGACTTGGTAAAGACAAGAAAATGGTGAGATAAACCTGGTTTTAAAGCTAGCTAGGTTTCTCACTAGTATGACAGTTATTTATAGTTCCTTTTTACTGAAAAAATTGATCGTGCACCCCAAACAGACATAAGCCGTTCATTTTCTTAATTCTTTCATATTTTTCATGTCGAGGCCTTTTATAGCCGGCTACACATTGGGTTTTCTCGTTGTTGAAAGCCATACAGTTGCCTATTATTGCTAACATCCACTTCATATGAACTTTTTTGGAAAGTTATCTCATTGGCCATCATATAACCTCTCCTTCTGTTTATGTTAATGTTGCAATGATTGAATCCAGCAGCCTTAAACTGTGTAAACATATAACACAGACATACAAGTCAGTGGTACGTTGTTGGGTTGAGACAACAGAGACTGAAGATGACATACAAGCCAAAGGAACAGGCTGGAAAAGAATTAATTTCCGCTGATGATGAAATTATCATTTTCTCAATCGTAGAATACCAATAGTGAATGAAAATGAATGTTGTATGAACTAATTGCAGATGTATGATAAATTTTGGATTTGTATTGGCAAGTATACCACATTTTCGTGTTTGTTTATAGAAACATATATTTATACAATAAATTTCTAAATTGTGGCACATTGTTGTATCTTAGCTACGTACCCTGTAAATAATATTAATTAATTATGAAAATAATAAGAGGAAGTGGTATAATTGCCAATGAGACAACAAAAGACCAAATGAAACAGAAATTAACAACTATAGGTCACCGTACGGCATCAGCTATGCGCAAAACCCATATCGCATAGTCAGCTATAAAAGGCCCCGAAATGACAAATGAAAAACAATTCAAACGAGAAAACTTACGGCCTAATTTATGTACAAAATAATGAACGAAAAACAAATATTTTAAACAGCACCAAACCACAACCACTGAATTACAGGATTCTGACTTAGGACAGGCACATACAGCATGTGGCGGGGTTAAACTAGTTTATTGGCGCCAAACACTCCCCCTAACCTGAGACAGTGGTGCTACAGTACAGACGAACAAACCATACAAATCAGTTGAAAAAGGCTTAACTCATCAGATGGATGCAAATAGAAATGCATCTAACAAAAATACAGAGTGGATGTGGACGGGTACTTATACATCTATATAAAAGAAAGACACTAAGTACAGATATAAGACTACTGGCAGTTACTGACAGTTAGTTCAAAGCCAATTAAAACTAGTGAAAATTAATTAATTAATTGATTAATTAAACTTGTTTCTGTAGATAAATTGCAACTGATGAGACATTATTAGTTTTACCTTTGTTTGGGCCTTTTCATTTTTAAATTGATGAACTAGTTCATCACGAAGTAGGAAGTTGTTTTCATTCATTCAATCTGTAGGCATCCGTCTAGTTTTCATGACTAAATTTACCGACAGTTTTTTTTTTTAATATATTTTCAAACAGTTTCCCGATTTCTGATCATTTCAAAGAGTGATAATGAATGTTGCTAGTACAGAAACAAAAATAAAACAATGTTAGTTAGCTTTGTATTGCTGACAGTCTTAAAAATCCACGAAGGCCAATGTTTGGAAGGTCTGAATGTGTGTGAAGACCGGAGAAGGTATGTTTTTTTTTAATTTGAAAAAAATTAATTTAGTATTCTGTGATTGTCCTTTTTTTATAAATATTTTATTTTATATGTAATTACAAGTAAGCCAAATATAAGTTATAATGTGACATGCATTGCTTATCTCATAATCTGTCATAATCTGTCTTTCATTCTTAGTACGTCTCACGAGAGAAAGATTTGAAAGTTCTCATTTGTGTCAGGCGTCAGCGTTCTAAGCAGATTAATGTATACATTTCGTCTATTTTCTATTTAGTCATTTTTCACTCAGATTCTCATAGACTAATACTTTATATTGTACTTCGGTATCTTTTTTTTCTATTATCAAAAAGGTGTAGGAACATTACGATTTTGTCATGGTTTGTGCCATTGTAACTCATGAAATGTGAAATGTGTTTCTGTCTACTATAATGGTTCTTTAAGTTTACATTGCTAGGACAAATATAAGATTAAATAAGATTACTTTTAAATTTGATCGTAGTTTTGGCCCAAATTAGCCCTGGATTGTCCGACGCCTTTCCAATCTTGAATAATGTATCAATAAAGTACACCTAACACCCACATTTATCTAAAACCGAAAGGGACGCATAACATATATGAGATACATCGTATGATAACCTTTCATAAACCTACATTATAAAACTGGGAAACGCTGTATCATCTAAAATATTTTACATATCATACCAAATGAGGTCCATAATTGATGTCATATTTGTTTATTGTCGTGTTGCAACTTCTAGGCAACGTAACATAATTTATGAAAACCGGAGTTTGACAGACATTGACCTCTGCGGAAATGACCTTATTTCAATTATTACATTTTAGATTTATTCAATATTTCCAGGAAATTCGAACCACATCCTTGATAAGATTGAATGATTTATTTGATAAAAGTATACTTTTTTCAATGAAAATAGTTTTTTTTTCAAACTGTGATATATTTAAAAAAAAATTGCTATTCAAATGAATAAGCAATTTTCGTTATTGATACATGTAACAATACTTAAAAACTTTTTTTCAAATATTGGGGTGGGGCGGGGGATTGATGTTATTGAATAACATGTTTTTGCTTCCCCTGCAAGAGTTAAATTGTTCTTTGTGTAAATTATTATAATGTGACAACTTTTCTGTAATTGGTTACATGCAACTGAATATATACTGAAAGTTTTTTTTTTTTTTTTTTTATTTTTAGAATTGTTTTATTCATGTCCATTCTATCACTTTACTATTTTTTCTGTTACTAATAGTTGCTACTAGTTGAAAACAATGAACACATATTTTGCAAGAACAAACTGTACGTCTACATCGTCTTAATATCTAGATAAGCAATATAATGTTTATTGTGCTCCCGAACGATCAATTTAACAGAAACATACAATATTTTTTGTAAACGATTGACTAATAAGCTGTTGTAATTAAGTCTATATTTAAATGCGCTAAGCTTTTCAAAGTACATGACAAAGTTAAATAACTAAAGTAAAACATAATTATCAACCACTCATAATGATAGCTGTGTTTTGTCACTCTGATAAATCAAGTATTTTCAACAACAGTTTATAGTTTGCTATTATATTGTCCTGTTATACCACGGTTATAGGGAGGATTGATCGCTAAAAACATGTTTATTCAAACGAAAATTAAAATGTCCCTTGTTCAAGTCAAAATCCTTAAATTCAGTGGTTATCTTTGGTTGATATCTCTATAATTGTTTAACATTTATTTGTTTTTATCATTAATGAGGTCGCTGGATTTTTTATTTGATTTGTGCAGCATAATCGCCTTTTTGTGCTTTTTTTAAACTTTATTGTATATGGTTTTGGTTTTTCCTGTTGTTGACGGCCGTACAGTGACCCATCGTTTTTTAAATGCATGTTAGTTAGTCTCTGATAGGTAGTTGTCCAATTGGGAATCATGCAACGTCTTCTTATTGTTAAAACATAGCTATGCTGTAAAGCAAATATAATGTACGCAATTCATATTGCAAACGACTTTATTAAAATGTATTCTTGTTTATTTTATATACTTTGATTATAGCAAAAGAGAGTATTGTTGTGCAGGCTATGAAGAGATACATGCTTTATGTATAGGTAAATACTATATAATTATGGAATCACATACATGTTGCCTTCATTTTGCATTTCTGTCGAAAAAAAGGCGGTAATGGTTAAACAATATTCACTGCTTAATACAGTGCTAAATTAAACCTGGTTTAACTTTCTTAATTATGAAAATTGACAATAAAGATTAAAGGAAAGAGTAATGTTACCTATACAAATAGCCTTTTTACACTTAATAAGCATGGTAGGAAAGTCATTTCAATAAACATATAAATTACTTTTTCCCTTTTTTGTGTAATTGCTGTCAAGAAAGCATCTGTTATAGGAAGACATTATTAAAGTTTGTGACATGTTTAGATTATTACCAAAATTAAATTTGCCCACTGGAAACAACAAACAATGCATGATATGGAAATACAGTATCAGCATTTATGTATAATTAAAAATTCCAAAAATCTTTTAGAGTACATACAATCTAAGACTCTCTCATCTTGCAATAGTATTAAATATTCAACTTTTCTACACTTTACACAAGTATGCCCCATTCCAAACTAAAAGACAAATTCAAAGAGTTGGTATTACTTTGTTTCATTAAAAAGAATGGCGAACGTAGATACAAGTATCTTGTCTTGGGGAGGGATAAATCCTACTTTGTAAAGAATCGCTCTGATTCAAACAAAAAATTCTCTGAAACTGACATTATCAAGATGCTTGATTTCTTGATTGACAACATATTTGTTAGGTTTGGAGGACGTGTTTTTCACCAGACTGTCGGAATTCCAATGGGAACCAATTGTGCCCCTCTTCTTGCCGACTTGTTTCTTTATTATTATGAGGCTGACTTTATACAGGAACTTCTTAGGAAGAAAGATAAGAAGTTAGCAATATCCTTTAACTTTACGTTTCGTTATATAGATGATGTTCTCTCAATAAATAATACAAATCTATCCCTTCGAACTACCGATAAAGATACTACAGATACAGTTAAGTCTGCCTCATATCTTGACTTACATCTAGAAATTGACAATAAGGGACGGTTGAAAACAAAACTTTACGACAAAAGAGATGATTTCACCTTCCCAATTGTGAACTTTCCATGTCTATGTAGCAACATTCCAGCAGCGCCTGCATACGGAGTATATATCTCCCAATTGATACGATATTCCCGGGCTTGTATTTCCTATCATGATTTCTTTGATAGAGGATTGCTGCTCACAAGGAAGCTATTAAACCAAGAGTTCCAAATGGTGAAGTTGAAATCATCCCTTCGTAAATTTTATGGACGCCATCACGAGTTGGTTGACCATTATGGAATAACCGTTGCACAGATGATATCGGATATGTTCCTTATGTCGTAACTACAATACCCTTCCCTTTTCACGAATGTGACCTACCGAATTAGACTATTTACCGGATTTGTAATAACATAAGCAACACGACGGGTGCTACATGTGGAGCAGGATCTGCTTACTCTTCCGGAGCACCTGAGATCACCCCCAGTTTTTGGTGGGGTTCGTGTTGCTTAGTCTTTAGTTTTCTATGTTGTGTCATCTGTACTTTTATTTGTCTGTTTGTCTTTCTATTTTTGGCCATGGCGTTGTCAGTTTGTTTTCGATCTATGAGTTTGACTGTCCCTCTGGTCAGCCAGTCGTCTCATTTACCACGGTGATGACTGCTTAAGACTGTCGATGGTAATGTTACGTTATATACACATTGATATACAAAAATAGAAGTACGTGCCATAATCTCAAAGATTAAAATATATGTAAATCATCGTTTAACCTGTATACGAATGTTATTGTAAGCCGTATCGGTTACCGAAATGGTTTTTTCAATGTTGCTCACTATCTATAGATTTCAGTTTTTACACTATTTCTATTTTTAAACAAACAAAAGTGCTTATCATGGACGTTATCAACCATCAATTAAGGTTCAAATCAAAGGTGTAGTGCATACAGACCAAAATTAGGGTCGAATTATTGTTTTGCAAGAATTGAATATATCAACGATCTTTTTGTGTTTTTTTTAACAAAATTGAACCAATCTGGCTGATAAAAAGAATTTCCATGTTGTGCTTCCATAAATATTTGAAGAAGAAAAAGGAAAAAAAATGCATTCTTTAATGTTTTGTTAATTTTGTAGCAAATGTCCCTTTAATAACACATTGTAATACACATATATTTATTTTTTTTATGACCTCCATCGCATATTCAGAATATTTTTGACGAAAAATAAGGACATGCAGAAAAAAAATGTATTAACAAAAATACCGAATTCGACGTAAATTCTTCAAAAAAAAAGATGTCCGTAAAAGCTGGCACGTCAATACCCTCGAAAAAGTCAACCATCGAAACGAACGAAAAACAATTGTCATATTCTTTACTATGTACAGAATGGTCGGTTAAACCGGGTTTTATAGCTAGCTAAACCTCCCACTTTAATTACAGTTGTTTATAGTTCCGTTATATTGATAAAATAGTGTGAGCAAGCCAAACAAAGAAAATTGGCTAAAGTCATACTAAAAAGGACCAAGCAGCTAAAATTATGTAAATATACATAATAGATATACAACACAACAGACTTAAAAAAATATGCATTTGAGTTTTAAGATTTATCCACCAATCTACAACTTCAACGACATAGAATGACAATAAATTATATTAAATTAGTAACAGTTTCACATGCTCATGCATGGTTAAAATGCCAGAGCAACATAGAGACTTTTAATCCTAGAATTTACAAGTATGCTATCATAAAATAAAACAATGTTAGAATGGTAGCTTTTTTTTTTTTTTGCTGGAATGAAATCTCATTTACTTTGATCCTCAACCTATACTTCAACTACTTAAAAAAAACAATCAAATATACCAGGGCTATAGCTCTTTACGCCAGATGCCTTAGCTATATTTTATCAAAGTGAAACCGGGACATAAATGTAGGACTTTAATATCCTATTTAATGGTCCAACTCAGCCTGATTTGGGAAATAAAAATAAATTCGGCATGAAGACAAATATTCGTATACGCATTTATCATACGGAATATGAACAAGTCCTCAATTCTAATATCTACACTCTTCGGTTTAACTTCAAACACAAACCAAACGAGTGACTTTTATAAATGAACAATTGAAAAATAGATAACCTATCATATTCATACTATGACCTGTTTTACAGAGTGCAACATTGGTTTTACATCTATAAACGGAGACTCATGCACCCCATGTGGAAACAATAGATTCGGTAAAAGATGTCTAGCTCGTTGTAACTGTCAAAGTGTAGAGAGGTAAAACACTTTTACATACTATTTTGATTTCAACAGATATTATACAATTTTCATAAGCGTGCAGTACAAGAGTTACACGTGGTAATTTGAAGTACGATATATACAATGAACATGTAATAATCTACTTGTTAACATGTTATTACTCATTCAGATTTTCAAGCAAAACATAGCCAGAAAATAAAACCTAATGAATACAATATAGTTTTCAAATGAAAATTGAGATTTTCTGATAAAGTTCAGTATAACAAAGAGATAAAAACCCTTCCATGTTGGCATGGTTTGGATGATTTCTATATTATGGAATAACATGTTAGTTTTATTATTCTACAGTCTTAACTATTATACGTGCTATTCGTATGCAAATATGTTCTTTGCATTGCTAACATATTCTTTCGAATTGTAGTATATTCAACAACGTGTGGCTCGGTACTTGTACATATCGGCATTGTGTTGTTGTGCTGTGGTCTTCTTTGTATTCTTGTGTTTCGTTTTTGCGTATGTGCTTTGTCTATATGCCTTTTTGTTTTCTTTGTGGAGATATTTGTTTGTTTTTATAGTGATTGAGATTATAACACAATGTTGATTGCTGATTACCCCTATTTTTGACATTTTTACTTATTACATCTGTTTGTTTTGTTCACACATTGTTGTCGATATAATGGAATTTTATGCAACTGTCATACAAGTGAGAGGTTTAGATCACTTTAAAACCAGGTTTAATCCACCATTTTCTACGTAAGGAAATGGCTGTACCAAGTCAGGAATATGACAGTTGTTTTCCATTCGTTTGATAAATTTGAGCTATTGATTTTGCCAATTGTTAAGGGACTTTCCGTTTTGAATTTTCCTTGGAGTTCGGTATCTTTGTTGTTTTACGTTTTACTACAACTAAGTCGATGTCGAGTTTATTCCTCGAGGGCATCATTAACTTGGTAGCTTAATGCATAATAAATACAAAGAATATAAAGAACAAACCGACTAGGACGTCGCCCGGGTTAATTACTTAAAACATTCAGATACTTTTCAAAAAATAAAACCATGTACTTTATATTTTCGACAGTATCTGCTACATGTGAATCAACTCCTATTATTTCAACTTGTAAACACAAAAAAGGAAGAAGGGCACGTGTAAGACATGTAATACGTTCATCACGTATTCAGATGTCACTAATAATTTAACAGGAAAAACTTATAATACTAAATGTTTTGAGCCTCTAATCTGTGCCACGGACAATGTCGTTTACGGAATTGAATGTATTTTGTGTGAACTACTTTATTTAGGTGAAACTCGACAAACTTTGCGTAAAAGGTATTGCAATGCCATATGGTTGCATTGATAACATCAAAGGAGTAAGAAATTTGTCAAGTCCAGCCTGCAGTGATGTTAATGTAATGAGCTTTTTTAATACTACTTTAAGACACCAGAGTAGTCATAGGCAAAAACGTTAACATCGGCTCAATCTAAAAAAGTCTTCCAAATTTAGATCTCAATCTTGGAGCTTTGATGACCTTCTTTTACATCTTCATCATCCGCTAGGGTTACATTACATTAGAACTATTCTTTTGTCACTGCCGATTAATTTTCTAAAATGTTTGAGAGATTATGCACTTGACAAGGGATGCATAGTTACATTTTCTCCAATATACATACTACTAAGTATAATTTGTGATATAGCTCTTTTCCGTCTTTTTAAACCAGTAAGATCGGAACCTTTACATGATGAAAAGACATTCCTTCCAGTTCAGTTTTCAAATAAAGGAATTGATGCAATCAACATCAGCAACGTTCTTCATCACAAGCACTTTGTCGGAATAGGTCAAAACAATCAGGTCTTTGATAAAACGTCGAATTCATAATTTTAAAGACAGTGTGAATGATCGACCAATGTCCGTTTTCAGAGACTAAGAAGCTGTGAAATGTCTACCATTTCTTCACGATAAATATGTTGTTGTTCCTGCGGATAAAGCTTCAAATAATATTGTCTTTGTTTGTAAATCGTACTACTATGAGTGTCTTGTAAAAGAATTAGGAATAAATGAGCAATCAGGTAATCCCACATACAAAAACATATCATTTGACAAGGATGAGATTTTGGCGAATCACAAGTCCTGCATTGCTTCAATGAACATTAAATTGAACAGTTAATCAGTGGATACCTAAGCTTTACAAAATTTCGTACAAACAACGGTACATTGCCGGCTTATTTACATGTTCTACAAAGGAATTGTCCATTAGATTGACAACAATTCTATCCGCAGTGAATGAGGGTCTTCAGAAATACTGTTAAACTGTTTACTCGCGAAGTGGTATTAACAATATGTGGATTCTAAAAAATTCTAAAGAACCTCTGGATAATTTTAAATTTCGATCTTTCTATAAGATTTATTCTATCAAAACTTTTGATTATTCAACCCTGTATACCACCATTCCCCATGTGATATTGAAAAATCACTAAAAGAAATATTCCAAAATGCTTTTCAATATAAAAATGGTAGCATACGCTATAAATTTATTACTTTGGGATACCATACGGCACAATTTGTTAATAGTGAACGTCGGCCAAAAAAAACAAAATGAACAACAATATGTGCATAGAATTAGTTAATCATTAAAGAACAGTTTAGTTCTTTAAAATATATCAATTGTATACAAAAGCAAAACTTATTACAATGATTATGATTTAGGACAGGGTGTTAAGCGTATAACTATTGGTACCCATTTATTGTTTTTTTTATCTCGACAAAAAATAAAAAATAGAAATATAATATGGAAGATAAGCAGACCTGAAACGTTACTGTTATTACATGCACGTGAAAAAATATTGCATACCAAACATGCAAAATCTCAAATCAACTTTGAAACTTGACAAAAGTAAAATGTATGTTCATGGCCACAATTAATGGGGATCACAATTAGCACATTAAATTTAAAATCAAAAGGTGTAGATTTAACAGTTATTTTATATATAAAAATGTGAACTACTATAACTATCAGAATAACATTTCTACAAAAGATTCATTTGTGACGCTTGAATAAAAAAGGCCAAACAAGTGTGTCAAAAATAAGTATCTATGTTTTAATGTGATAGTATCGTGCAATGTTGCTTATGGTCTTTAATGAAGAAACTAAAAAAAGGCCTAATAAAAAGATCGGGTCGATGATGTTTGTCAATTGGATGTTCGCTAAAAATGTCTTTGTATGAAATGAATGTTTTTGATGATTCTTTAACAAGTAGTGTGTAAAAACGCTTCATATCATTTCGTTGGTGACAATCAAAATAGTATGTTCATAACATCAAAGTGACATAAGAATGTACACCATTGAATTCAAGGACATGATTGTATTTTCATATTTGTTTATTATTTAAAAATATATGTTTCAACGATATGCAAGATTATTTTAACGTTGTTCTAGTAGTTTACATCTCAAAGAAGATTACACATTGAAATAGCAAGAAAAAACAATTCAAATGAATGCAACAATGTTGAATTTAATAATTGATATTGTCAAGCATTATTTATTTGATATATATTGCACAGATGTGATAATGTAGTTGGGTGTGTACCAAAAATAGAAGTAAGGGGTAGGTACTATTTTCATAGTTTATCTCTTTAGCAACATTTGTTTAGCGGTCCTATGAAAAAAGGAGATTTTGAATGATTGTCGATGAGTCAGAGTTCAAATAAAAGGTTACAAGCAATCATAGGTCCAATACGGTCTTTAACGATGAGAAAAAAAACCGTATAGTCGGCTATAAAAGTCAACGACATGAAAAAATAGGAAATAATTCAAACGAGAAAACTAAAGGTCTAATCTATAACAAAACAATTTACGAAAAAAAATATGACAGACATGAAACAACCTAACTACAGACATTTTGATACCGGAATAGTCAACTGATCGGTAATTTTACCAATTGAATCCTATACCTGATTGAGACATTTTGACTGAGTGTAGATTAACGTATGACAATTGCATGGCAGATTATGCATGCATAGCAGATGACGTTTACCCTATGGATGCATCCGATCTCTAAATGTGTGTAGTTCTTGTGATTTCCTCGTGATTTGTTTGTTACTTTGATCTGTATCCTAGTCGTATATCATCTTTATAAAAGAGTCTGCCTTCAGAAATGAAACACAGAAATCCACAATTGAACACACGTTAAGTAAGTCCTGAATAACTTAAAACTACCATAAAATAAAACTACTAGTTTTATCATAGTAATGGAAATGTTCTATAGGATTTATATATTTCATACTGTTATACCACATTGGCTTGTTGTCTCACTTGCTTGAATATTGTGCCATGAGCATGATGAGAGAAATAAATGTGAATACCTGTATATTCATAGGACAAAAACAAAACAATTATGAAAAAATACCTTGAACAAGTTCTTAAAATTAAACAGACAAGAAAACAGTGGGTTGGATTATACATTTCGTAGAAAGGGGAGAATTCTCAATCCTTCCAAATCTAATTTTGATCAGCAGAATAAAAACGGAAACGGACAATAAAAATATATTTCTGGAGTGTAACTAGGCCGTCCTTCTCTTTACGATTGGGTACTCTAGACAATTCACTGAGTAGTTATGTAAAAGTACTAATCAAAGATACCAGTCTAATCATTTTCTACGCCAGACGTGTCTTTTTTCTACAAAAGATTCATTTGTGACGCTTGAATAAAAAAGGCCAAATAAATTGCGAAGACGAAGAGCATTGAGGACCCACAATCCCCAGGGGTTTTGCCAAATACAGCTAAGGTGATATAAGAACAGCTTTACTATTTCGATTAATTCAAAATTTGTAAACAGTAAATTTATAAAAATTACCATGTAAAAATATTGAATTTATATGAATAACATCTATTTCATGCTTTAAACTAACGATCACCACATGCACACTTATAAAACGAAATACGAGCACAACAAAACAATAACATGCCAACAATTTGATCATTATGCAACAAACATGTCAATATCAATATTTCCATAAAAAACGTAATGCTAAATATGTCGTGAATTTCATACAGCGCTAGCGCAACACAGATGTTTTTATGTTTATCTTGCAACACTATTTTCATAAAAAAAATGTAGTGTTAAAATATGCTGTTCAGTTTATACAATCGAAATCATGCCCAAATATCAAATCCATTTATAAGTGATATATTTAAAACAAAAAAGAAGATATTTCTTTTTCAATGTTAACCTCAAAATCACATGGTCATGCAGTTATTTATTTTCTCCTATACTCTTTTCTCATCGTTCGTTAGAAAGTAACGCCCATGCTATGTTATGTTTGTAGAAGACGTTGTGTATACTACTAAAACATTAGAAAGAGGCTTTCCCGGAACAATCAGAGTTAATGCTTTTGTTCTTCATGTTACTAGTCATGGATAAGTATTTTCAGCGAAACGCTCATTTAAACTTAAATGAATCTGATCATGTTTGTTTTTGCATGTCCTCTTTATAATGAAAATGAGGATAAATTCATTGAAAATGTATATGGACTTCTGAAAAAATACTGATTTTACCCAACTGTGGCTTTGAAGTGGGTTGATTTCAAAAGACAGGTCAAATATCGTCTTCACCTAACACGGAGCTTTCAGGAGTAATAACAAAATATAGTTGAAATTGAAGACAGATATTATGTTCGAGCAAAGTGATGTGTCCTCGTGCTAACTGTAGCGTGGACGTAACTTTACATTCGAGTTAAGTGTGCCATGAAAAAAAGTGAAACAAAAATACTGAACTCCAAGTCAACTTCAACAGGGGGGAGTTATATTGACACAATTGGGTAGGCAACTCAAATAGACATAATAGGTTAATGTGACAATAATTAGGATTCAACAGTCAAAAGACATACAAGACAACTGACTACAAATTCAAACAAACATACAAGTTAAAGAAGGAGTTAAACTATTTATACCATATTATCGTACTGAATAAACAGGAACTTCTTCATTTTTGTAATTGCGGTTTGTAGCTAATCATCAGCTAAACGATAATTACATGAAAAGTAATTAAAAGACCTAAGATTTATCAAATAACGCCTACAACAATAGTATACCATACGAATAATCTTAATTCTTTAATATAAGTGTCCAAAGTCAGAATTCTGATATTTTTTATTTCGTCCTATTTTTTTAATCTAAAATACCATTTCTTTATACTTTTCCTTTCAGTAAGACTATCTTCAATAACACATACACATGTAATATCTTTGTAGAAGACGCTGCTTTATCTACACAAGATAAGGAGAACAGCTTTTCTGAAGCAATGACGGGTAAATGTTTTAGTTTCTTCTTTTTCACAAGAAACACATCAGATAAAAAGAAAAGATGAGATTATATCTCCTTTATTCCCAATCATGCACAGCTACAATCTTCCTGGTTTAATTTAAATACAAAATGGATACAAGAATCGGCTGACACATTAAATAATCTACTGTTCACCTATTGAATGATTGTTATCAACACGTCTCACGGATGTGACTATATAGAGAGAATTTCACATGAGGATCATGGCAAGTGACATCCATGTTACCATTTTGTTCTATAAAATGTATACACTCTGACATATTTGTCATATTGTGCAATATCATTAAATGAATATATAATAAAAACTGTTTGATTTTTACAATGCATTTATTTTAATAAACTTACGGTATTCTTCTGTTAAACTTTTTTTTCAAATTAACGTTTAACCTGCTCCGTGAAATATTTTGTATTTTCGTTTATGCCAGCATTCATTGAGTTTAACCATTCAATATCTTTTAAAAGCAATGCTTGATATGCAACGCAACCACAACATATGCGGTTTTCTCTCTCTCTCACTCTCTCACACACACAATTTTCAGATGATTTGCATCTTAGTTTTCAATTGTGTATATTACGCTTGTAGAAAGTGTTGCTGCAACCACCAAAACAAAGAATAATAGCCTTTCCGTGACAATCAGGGATAATGACTTTGCGTACACTTTATCAGGCAAGCAATTTTTGATTCAATAGCGATATATTTTTTTCTTGAAATGATACATATTTTATATCATATAGGTATTGTAAGATGAATGATGAATGTAATGTTTTTTCTCCGAAGAAAGGTGGCAGGTAGCAAAGGGGCATTCAAATTCATAAGTAGACATAAACCGACAATTCCATTGTTGAAAAAAGAAGAAGAAAAAACAAAACAAAGATACAAACAACATTATGCAAAACACAACATTTGAAACTAAAGACTGAGCAACATAAGCACCAATAAAAACCGTGGGTGATCTCAGGTGTTCCGGGATGGTAAGCAGATACTTTTCCACATGTGACTCCCGTCCAAAACTATAGTTTAAACTTTTGAAATAGTTTAGGTAAATAATTAATATGATACGTATTTACATACTTCCCTATTGGTTTTTGTAGATAGTATATTCAATACAATAAGCTAGGTGTATATATTACAATATGTATAAAAGATGACAATAAACCTAACCAAGTACAAATACAAGTACATGCATCAAAGTCAGGCCAGCAAAACAGCGATGCTTTTCTCTTAGTTCAACTTGTGGCTTTAATTTTGTACCAATTTAAAATGCTACAGAATATAGCATATACAATGCATTTAAGGATTATCTCGGCTTCTCCAAGCACCAGTAATTACGTTTGGAATAAAAGTTCGACTGGTGTCTAATCACAAACAAATTAGACATTGTTATCATTTCTTTTTTTCTCTATCCCTTGAATTATTCAATAAGTACAGAGGTGTTTGTTTAGAATTTAATTAATTTAACAACGAATTTAATTGAAACGAGGGAGGGGGACCATACCACTGAGATATTCTTAACTCATAATTCGATAAAAAAAAAATAACAATGTCATCGTAAAAAACAAAAAGACGAACAAGTTCACAAACACTAAATCGAAAAACTAAAGACTGAGTAATCTTATTTTCGAGTTTTCCTGTAGGTTGACTGTCAATAAACCTTAAGCTTTCAGTCTGATCGCAATGTATCATAAGTCAACGGTTGAATTTGCCGTGTCAGTAAATTAATCATTATATTAGATGTGAACATGGCTCCATCATCAGTATTTTCTGTTGTCATCCGTCAATGAACTTGATATAGATGTTTACTGCTTGTTTTTCATGAATTCGCGTTATCGATGTATTAGTTTCTATAAATAAATAAACTACTCCTATAAAGGAATATATTAATGGTTTGGTTCTTTGTCTCTGAGAGTCTGGTTAAGAACTTCCTGAGTAAAAATGTATTAGTTCTTCTTCTACTTTAATCTTTACTTGTTGGAACATTATTTCCTTTAAACTGAATCAAATAATATTTACGCTTATGCTGATTACAGCATCAGTATATTACAGACGTTATGTTATATATTTTTTGTAGAACACACCCATGATTCCAAAAGAAAGCAAGAGAAGGACTTTCCCGATACACAGACGGGTAACACTTTTGCTTAAGTTTTGATCATGTTGATAGTCAAGATATATTTTATAAATCTTAATAAGAATTAATGAATCTACTAATTGAAAGAAATAGTTAAGTTTAGTAGTTTTAAGGGATGTCAACAAGTACTCGAATACTCGGAGTATTGCTGGGTAGAGCCAAGTCACGAATGCCAAAAGGATACTCGACTAATCGGTATGCAGTTAGGGTTTTTTCCCTTTATTTTAATCAAATTTATTTTCAAACATACCAATGCAACCTCGTAAACAATGTTATACTCTTATTTCACATGTAAACATTTTCCGTTGAACTGATATCTAAACGATATTTACGTTATTGTCAAACATAAAATCAGTATCTTACATAAGTTATGTTATGTATTCTTTGTAGAAAACACCGCTTATATCACTAGAACCACAGGGGGAAGTTTTGCTGAAACACAGACGGGTAACACTTTTAATTATGTGTGATAATCGAAAAATATTTGATACATCTTAATGAGATTTAAGGTTTCTATTCATTGAAAGATATAACTATAGCTTTGGCTATTCTTTTTGTCCTTGTTGGTTTATAAGCTTTGCGTTTACAAGTATTTTTTCGTCTAGAATCACAGAAGGGACATAAGTTGGCTAACTGCGCATCTGGTGCAGAAAATATGGTACCGTTAATGTTATAAGTATGTTTTAGGGATGTCAACCAAAACTAAAATACTCGAGTATTGCTCAGTAGAACACATCATTAAATATCAAAATAATACTTAACAAATCGGTGTGTTGTTTGGATTTTTTTTTCTTTTTAACGGTCTGGGCATGCTGTGGTTAATACAGATTTTAATCATAGTTAAAATACGTGTCGTATTTGTGTGCGAAGTTGTCGTTTACACAATTTCTAAAATCTACTGTCAAAGTCTCCTGATATAATGTTCAAAGTGACGGGCTACCCTAGAGAGTATATACCTCTACCTGTAACTTAAGGGCATTCGATATAGTTTCGAACCCACGGTGATTTCTTTATGAACATTTGCATACAAGCTATTTTTCCCCTACCTAGTGAGGCTAAATATGTTTACCTTCATGTGCTACTCTTAGAGATAAATGGGGTCGGAATTTCAGACATTTACTTAAAGTTTCGGTTTCTTGGACACTTCTATCCTTTGGAGAGACATACCTAACTTTTTGTTTCAAAAGAACACAAACGGATTTTTGTAAAATCATTCGGAACATCTTGTTTGCATAAGCATACTCTTAATTTGTATAAAAATTCTTTGGAAATAATTAATTCTTATTAAAACTTCATGGTTTAAGAAACAAAAACGGCATTTTTTTTTGCTGCATGTTTATCTTATTAAAAAACAAATTCTTCGCTGATTTGTTCATAAAAATTGGTATAAGTAATCTTTGTACATAATCAAGCCTATGTCATTTTCAAAGAGAGGGGTCCATGAACTCGTTTTCAAGCTATTGATTCGAATCATGCGAAAAATGTATCTTTTCACAATAATTCACAGTTTGACATCGTGAAAAGTAACATTTTACGGTTGCAACGTCATTACCTCTCCTGTACCTGTATCGTATGCCCTAAAAGGAGGGCTTAAAATTGGTCCTTCTGCTCACTATCGTCAGAGCGAATAATGTCGTTCCAGGGGCTGTTAGTTACAAAGTTTCAAAACAGACTCTTTCTTGGTTTTCTGAAGAACAAATTCGTCAAACCCTGTGATGACCTCAGTAAATGAATTAAAGTATCAGTGAATGTTAATCACCACGTACATTTGTATTGGTAATTCGTTTTCTTTACAATAACAAATGTTGCAGTTGTTTGATCATTTTTCTTTTTATAATCTATATTTAATAGGGATTCATTACATATTTGATTACATTATTGTTAACCTAATAAGTACTTGTAGTAAAAGAGCTATTTAGTCTGGTATCTTTCCAAAGATAATAATGTGATTGGTTTAACGTACATAAGACAACGACCCAAAGAGTGTCATGTTGTTCCCATTTTTAAAACATCTTTCCGAGAATAACATTTTATTGCACACACTTACAAACACACACAAACGCTATAGCACAAATCAATGCATATGTATTTCTTGTTTTATAGTGTTAAAGTTCAGGTTGTTTGTCTACTGTGGAGGAATAGCAGGATTTATACTGCTGATTGGGGGCTGTTTTGCGTGTGTGCAGTTCAGAAAAAGAAGGCAAAAACCAAACACGGCAATTACCAATGATGAAAACAGAATTTTAAGAGTTTCTTGCAAAGGAAATCAAAATCCATCTAAACAAAAGGAAAGTATGCATATATACCATACCATTGATGACAACATATTAGCAGGTCCAATCACAGACTGTTATGCGTATTCAGAGGTAATTATTGAATCCAGCAGCCAGAAAAGCAAAACAAATGGAACTGAAACTGCATGTAGCTACGCTCAACATGCTCAACAATACCAAAGCTTAGTCCCTGAAACTTTAGAGATGCACCATTAAAAGTAGAGAACAATATCACAGATATGTTTATAACCCTAAACATTAAAAAATACGTGAAACGTTTTCACAAACAATAACGATTCAAGAAATGCAATAAGGTTCATAATATTATCAAAATAAACACAAAAGTATCAGAAATGTCAGGGAAAAATACACTTTAATGCCTTTTTTACACACTATCTTGAATTACATTATATATGTAAGTGTTTTCAATACAAGCTATGCAGTCCACTTGTCTGTTAAAGGATAGGAACTTTAATTTCCGTAGAGTACTGCTATTAAATTAGGATTAAACATTGAATTGAAAGTATTGTATTTGGACTTGTACATAGTAAAAATCTGACATTTTGTGCTGCATATAATATATATAACACATCTTTCATTGGCCTGTTTGATCACTTATTTGTCATCTTTTTTTTTAAATGTTGAAAAGGTTTTTCATTCAGTATTATTTTGTTGCTAAAATGTATATGTTATACTGCATGTGTTGTTATGCGTGTAACAATTTTCGCTCTTAATAAAAAAAAAAATCTTTTGTCACTCTTTTTTTTTATTCATTGCCCACTCGATGTACAGCAATAAAGCGTTTTAATAGTTATATTCAGGAAATGCTTGGTTATTTCAGTTTTAGGAGAAATACATAAATAAAAAGAACCTTGTTTCTGTCGAGGTATCATATTTTATGAATTCAGATAAGTGTTTGGATTTGTTATGTAATGCTGTTTTGCATAGTAAACAGCATTTGTAAGTTTGAACATAGATTAATGTTTAACAACATTGGAAATTACGAATACAGACTGCGTTCTACATTTTTTTTCTATGAGGTAAACAGTCAAATAGTAGGATTTCACATGTTAATTAATTATTTTTTTTAGTATGTTTTATATAAAATCACACACAACATATGACTCATCAGTGACGCTCGAATCAAATAAGTTACATAAATATTAACATAAATGTAATGACAACTCGAGATAAAATAGAAATTTCATTGATTAAAGTTCAAACTCTGCGTATTTAGAAAGTGTCGATACCGCTGAAGTGAACTGTCTCACAAGGTGTCGTCAGGTAGCAGTCAGTGCAGTCATCTGCATATACATGATTTATATAACAACAACTTCAAAATATATGTGTTGATCAATGTAGAAATTGGAAGAAACACTAATGTTCCAAGTCCCTCAAGCACAGTTGATTTAAGATTTAAGTTACCTTTTCTTTCTATGTTCCTTTTTGGTCATCAAGCTCCAAAATGTCGTGCTTATTTTTCAAATCTTTGGCTGCCAACTTTTTAGTCATGAGCGTTCCATATCAAGGTTAATACAGCCTAACGGTTCAGATGCACGAAATTAATGAACTGTTTTGTTTTCCATATACTACCACCTTATACTACTGCTAGTAAACTGTTACTTACCGAAGTAATCATCAAGTAGTAGTCAGTGCATCGCCTTTTAAATGATTTATAAGAACTATTTTCAAAATCGCTGATTGAAAAAGCCTACTTCACTGGCTTTGAAATGTAAAGGTTTGAGTATTCCTTATGGTACTACATCCAGACAAAAAAAACCTTTCCTACGCACACATTGTATAAATAAACTCATCATAGTTACCAGGATTAATATTTCATACGCCAAACGCCCTTTTCGTCTACAAAAGACTCATCAGTGACGCTCGAATAATAAAGTTATAGAAACCAAATAAATTCCGAAGTTACAGATCATTGAAGACCGAAAATTCCGAAAGGTTTAGCTCAATACAACAAAGGTAATCTTTTCATGGGGTAGACAACTCTAAGAAAAATATAAAGTTTTGTAAACAATTAATTTATAATTTTGATCATATCAATGATAAGTCATGTCGACACAGAAGTTAGGTCTAATGTTACTTTCTTTACATTTATGTCTTAACATAAACACAACGTTTATAAATCATTATTTATATCAAATATGAACGATCGCGAGTTCAAGGACTATTGTAAAGGTGTTAAATCTAAAATAGTTTTATAATTAACATTTATTTGAATTTAAATTTGAAAAGGTAGTAAATCAAATGTAGCATTTTCTATTATGGTTGTTGCCTGTCGTCTATTTCACCCATGACTAAATATTTTTCGTATCACACTGCATGAAAATGTTATTTTGTTCAAGTTTCATAACATTCTGAAGCGTACAAAATGTGCTTAGATGTCTAATGCTATAATTTGACGCCAGAAAAAGAACTATGACATCATACTGGTATGTTGAAAGTCTAACACAAAGAGAGTATTAACCATGATATGAATAAGTTTAGCAACTCGGAAGAAATGAATATCTCTTGATATCAACTCTCGTTATTTAATTTAGATAGTAATAATAAACTCGACTAAGGCTCGTTTATTTTTTAATTGAAATTAAAAAAACTCGAGTTGATGACAAGCGGTATCCAGTTTATACTCGTTATGAAACCTATAAACACGATAAATCAATCTAAGATATAAGTTATTTTGTATACAACTGCACGCACAACCCTTGTTAGACATAACAGGTGATTTGTGATAATGATAACACAATAATTGTATGTACCTTGTTCAACAATTGTGAGGAGTGTTTACACATGTAAGTCTTTAAATCATAAGATAAAAAGATGATAAAGAATATTATCGTGTCAAATGGATTTTTTTCTGCTTTTTTTGTCGATTTAAATTATCCGTTTTTAAAGACGTCGATTTATGTTTTTGCAGACTAGAATTATACTATTAACGTACCGAAAATTGTTTCTTAAATCCCCACAATGTAAACCCCATAAAAAAAATTACTCTCAATTGAATGAAAACATTTTACCCTTTATGAAACATCTGGAATTAGTTTTCCGGATTTTGCACGTCTCAAACCCTTGGAGAGGGGCTATGTTCCAAACAAATGGAGCAAAAAGTAAGACAATCAAAAAACAAAAATAATGAATCTCAGGATCACACAAAATGCATGTGTGTCTGTATGTGTGAAATAGGGCGAGCAAGTATGATCAAAATGCATCATCACAAGGATTAGAAATGTAGATATTCAGTTGTTAAACATTTGCAAGCAACCTAATTTAACAAACAAACAAAAAATGATAAAGATTATGACGGAAAGACCAACACAAATATATGGAAAAAGTGGGTAAAAGGAAATAATCATAAGACGAAGTGTGAAAACAATTTATGAGAACAAAAACCGAAACAACAATAAGTATCACTATTTTATCAGACTCGGGATATTTTAGAGTTTGGTATAGAAAAAAGAAAATAAAGAGCTTGATATAGTAAATAGGAGATAATTATGAGCTTGATTTGGGAAAAAGTCAATACAGAGCTTGATATAGTAAATATTAGATGATTAAGAGCTTGATTTAGTAAAAAGACACTTGTCTATTGTTGACCTCTATCATGTCTATGTATCATTAGGTTTTTTGTATAGGTGTGTTGATGTGTCATTACGGTATACAACACATCTTTGCTTAGTCTTTGGTTTTCTATGTTGTGTCATCTGTACTATTATTTGTCTGTTTGTCTTTTTATTTTTGGCCATGGCGTTGTCAGTTTGTTTTCGATCTATGAGTTTGACTGTCTCTCTGGTATCTTTCGTCCCTCTTCTACATCCAATTATTTTTTTCTCAGACTAAAGTTGTAATTTATATTGTTTAATTTGTAAAAGCTCTATATACAAAATCAGTATGCAGCAGTTTACCCTATGTTCAAATTAAAAACATATCTTGAATAACTGCCAAATGTGCCATGACACCTTAACAATATTTTGTGAATTTTAGCATTCATGCTTTATTACTTTCTCACTAGTGTATATCTTATTACTTTACTAGCCGAAATTGCTTTCCCTTCCTTAATATATACTGTCATCTCAAAAATCTTCGGATATCTGAAATTGTTGATCCCTCGTCAGAAATACACAGCAGCATGTAAATAAGCGGGTTACTTAGGATAGAACATATCCATTCGTGCAGCTTTGAGCTATAAAAAAAAAGAAAAGAAAAATATGTGCGTTTTTCAACAAATCATAGATGAATCTAAATGACGACAAGATTTTGAAAATAGTTATAACATTGCCTTTTAATCTGCCTCCATTAGTTTTTTTTTCAAATTAAAGTTTATGAACGAGTACTTAATCCTCATAAGGAAGTATTCAACCCATTTAACTCAGGCGCATCCGATCTGTACCTCTTTCATTGTCTATATCATGTATAATGACATATATTTTTAGGAATCAATATAACAGTACTTCCGACTTTTGGGTCATTTGATACAGTTTGCATGTGATGTCATTGTCGACTTTAAAACAATGTCAGTTATTTACTTAATCTTAATACTTTGTTTTAGTGATAAAGGGAATAGTTTAAAAGGCCATAACAGTACAATATGTGAGGACGGAGAAAGGTATAGTTTTAACAATATAGTTTAAAGATATTACAATATTTTCAAGCAGCTCATTGAATTCAATATATCATTCAAGATTTGGATACAAATCAACATTATGACCGTTATAATACATACATGGTAAAGTTGGTGTGATGTATCTTCACAGTGCAAAAGGAGTTTTAACATAATTAACAAACAAGTACAGCATACTTTTAACACTATGACTTTTTTCTGTAGTTTATTTGTTGTCCTCAGCAGACTGGTCACAAATAAACACAATTAAACTTGAATAAACCAAAGACACAATACAGTGTTTTCAACAAAAAAGAACCTTTTCCGTGTACCAAAGCTATAAAGCAGCATGAAACTAACTGCACATACTAATACGAATGACCTTTTAATACTCTTTGATACCATATTGATTGTGTTATACATGTATGTAAGGTTATATATAATTAGTTAATGAGGTAATTAAGGGCTATCATTAGTCATAGAGCTAAATTAAATTCGTGGCGACATGATAACGTTTCTGAAAGATACATAAATACATCAAGTTGGTCTGATGTATCTTCACAGTACGAAATGAGTTTTAACGTAATTAACAGAAAAGTACTGCATAGAAACGAATACCTTTCTTGTCTTATTTGAAATTGAATTATGTTTATGCATATATTGTTATTACTATAGGAACATAGAATATTGTTGTTCGGACTATGAAGACATAAATGGTACATGTACAGGTATGTGAAGGTTTGTTAACATTAAATGAAAAATTAACAATAAATTACCCGTTTTTTTATCTCCGATGAAATGGGGATAACGAACATAGATTAAGAATGTGTTATTTTGTCTATTTTCTTGTATATCTCGCTTATTTGAAAAAATACAAATAAGTTCTGTGCAAATCAAATGAGAGGCATTGACATTAAAAGATGACAACATAAAACCTGAAGGATTTGGGTTTGGTCTGCCAAACGTAGAGCTGGAAAAAAACGCTGACCCTCATTTCTAGGTAAAATGCATTACAA